CCATTGTCTCTTCAGCCCTCAGACTGCCCTGAGGCGCAGGCCCCTTCTCCCCGCCTACACACACACGCGCACACACACACACACGCACACACACGCGCACACACGGCCTGCCTGGTGGTGTGCTCTGCCCCAGCCATCGGACTCGGCAGGGGATGAGGGCAGGAGCTCCCCGGGCTCTCCCGTCCATCGCCTTCCTTCCTCCATAGGGCGAGGCAGCCGGTCTGCCACCACCCTCCATGCCCTCCGCTGTCCGAAGGCGGCCCCTCTGTTCCCGGAGTGTTGCGGGGCTTCGTGGCGTCTACCTGAACTCAGTCAGACCGCCCGCTTCTCTGCAGGTTAGCAAAAGTGCTCTGGCCGGCGTCTCTGTTTCTTATATTCAAACTCGCTGAGTGGCTCACCTGCTTCAAGGGGCCGCTTTCGAAGTCTCAGTCCTAAGCTGCGTCCCTTTCCCACACATCGTGGGAGTCGTTCAGAGCCAGGACGCAGAGCTGAGTTTTCTGCTGGGCCTGTGTTCGCTGAGTAAAGCCTTTCAGGGGGGAATGTCATAAGCCTGAATATTCTGCTAGTAAAGTTCGTACAAACTACAGAGAACGTGGACTAGTGCTTATCAGGGGATGAACACCTGAGGCTGTCACAGCGCGCGTGACGAGCATGTCACCGATCTTACGTCTGCTAAGAAACGGCCTCCGGAAAGGACAGTGGTCTTTAATTGTCAGGGCAGACGTTTGAGGTGTGGGAGGGCAGGGTCCGTGCGCCTTGCTCTCCAGTGCTGTCTGGAGTTAAGGTGGCACAAAAGGAGAGTCACGGAGGGAGGGAGGGTGTGTCCCCACCGGACAGCCTCAACTGCTGTTCAGACTGTGTCTTCGGCCCCTTACTAGTGCTGGCCGCTCTTACGTGAAGATGGCGGTGCCCAGGCAGCTGCTGCTGCTCCTCTGGAAGAACTACACACTGCAGGTGGGTCCAGACCCCAGGGCGAAGGGGCTCAGGGTCACCCGGGGGGGTCTCTGTGCCCTGGGCTTCTGCCGAGCACTGTCGTTTTGCTTCTAGAAACGGAAGGTGCTGGTGACAGCCCTGGAACTCTTCCTGCCATTACTGTTTTCTGGGATCCTGATTTGGCTCCGCTTGAAGATTCAGTCAGAAAACGTGCCCAACGCCACCGTCTACCCTGGCCAGTCCATCCAGGTGCTGCCGCTGTTCTTCACCATCCCCCCGCCGGGAGACTCCTGGGAGCTCGCCTACATCCCTTCCCACAGCGAGGCCGCCAGGACGGTCACCGAGGCAGCCAGGAAGGCACTGGTGATCAACATGAGAGGTGAGCGCCGCGGCAGCGACGCCCCGGCGCCA